GGTGCAGCCGGGCAAGCAGATCTCGGTGGCGTTGTTGGTCCTCTTGAAGAGGCCGTGAGCGTGACGGTGAGCGTTGGAGGCGCTGACACCGGCGGCGGCGGCCGCGGCGAGGATGAGAGAGCCCTTCATGTTGACGAGGGGAAAATCGAATTAAAGCGTGGAAGCTGAATTTGTGATTTTTCGAGTTTTTGGCGTTGCTTTGGAACGAATGCCCGCTGAAAGAGTGAAGCGGTGGTGAAGATTAGGGGAGGTAAGGGGGGGGGGGATGAGAGGACGAAACTGTGTTGACAAGCAATCAACTCATTGACGGATGTGTTCGTGAAGAGAAGGGAAAGGAAAAAGAAGAGAAGAAGGGGGCACAGGAGTGGAGGGCCGGGATGTTATTATTGCCTGGCAGGCCACTTTGCTGGGCCCGGGGGTGGTGGGCGTGGTGGGTGTGCGTGTGTGTGTGTGTGCTTGGTGCTTGGTGCTTGTGCAAGGTCCTGGGTACATGGTAGCCGTCGAGCCGTGGAGGTGGCCCAATCGAGCTCGAGTTGCCAGAGGAGGGCCCTGCCATGGCTGGGGCGAGACTAGACAGAGTTGGCGAGTTGGCGGACAGGGGATAGGGAGATACCCTCATCTGCAGTCGACACCTGGCACGGGTTGGTACGAGAAAGCATGACTGACTGACCGGCTCGGCCGTGGGTTGCAGTGCTTTCCATCACTTGTCGGCGATTCTCCCTCGAGAAGCGGGACCGGCCTTCACTCTGACCCTGTGTACAGTACCGCATGGATGCAAGTGAGCACAAGCGGTGATGTGTCGTAGACGCTGGACCATCAATTGGCAAACATAGTACGAACACACACACACACCCCTGCTTCTGTTGTTCCAGCTTCCCTATTCCTTCATCGTCAGCCTTCGCCTCTCTCTCTCTCACCCTGTCGAGCCAGGGTGTAGGCGCGCTTACAGTACGGGTCATCCGGCCCCCCTCTCCTTCCCAGCCCCCCTTGTCGGGCTCCCCAGGATGAACGTGGAGCCCCTACAGAGTGCTGCGCCGGCATCTCAAAGATGCGAGGTTAGCTCGTGATCCAGCTCAGGTCGGACGGAGGCGTTTGCCCATCGCGCATCCGTACCCAAAGATGGGGAGAACGCATTGACGGCGACTCGACCAGGGGCTTGGGGCGTTGAGGCATGTACATAGTAGGGCGCTAGTTGCCTCGATCGGGGCGAAGAACGGCGTTTGGCCAAAGACAGGCAAGAGACCAGTGGAGGGCGTTTGATTGACCAAGATTGGGGGGAGGGTGGGCATCTGGGCATGCAGCGAGTCGTGTGGATGAGCGGTCGAGCAGTGAACTGGTCGTTGGCTTGGCTCTTGGTCTTGGTCTTGGCCATGATCTTGTTTCTTGGAGGTGGAGGTGGAGATGGAGATGGGGGCGGTGGCATAGGCAAGAGGCAAGAGGTACTGTGAGAGGCATGAGGCAGGCATGAGGGAAAGGGGTTGAAGAGGGGGGCCCATGGCGAGATGAACCAACGAGAACGACGCGCTGAAGCGCAGGGATGCCTGAAAGTGGAACTTCATCCGTGGACACGAGTGGTCTCGCCGGGAAATTAGCTAAGCGACATTGCTGAAATTTAGGGCCCCTTACATGTAGCCCCCCGGTTCCTTCCCTCCTTCTCTGGCCTCTGCCATGCATGCCGGCAGCCCCTTCTATCATCATGCCGGACTGCCCGTCCGCTTACCTAAATTCTTCATCATATGCCGTCCCACATTCCTGGCGGCTTCAATCTCCTGTAGACGCTGTCTTTCTGTGTTCGTGTCGTTACAATGGCTGTCATCGAAAAAGCTATTCAAACAACAGAGAAGGGGTGCGACCACGGTGTCGGCCAAGGGGGGCCCCGGCACTCCCAATCCAGTCGTCCGTCTGAAAGCTCCCGACCCCTATCCCGGACAGGCCTTCCTTGTTAGGGTCTAGCGCAGCTTGTACCTGCATCAGTGCATCTGCCAGATGTACAAATCCAGGAACACCCGACTGCGCCAATCGCCCTTTTCGCCTCGCCGCCTGCCCCCGGAGCAGCAACCCATTGCCCTGTGAGCTTCTCGCTAGGCCCTTTCAGAAGATTTCAGAAGCATTCGCGTTCATGTTTGTTTCCAACCAGGTCGACAGAAAGTCCCTCTTCGCCTAGCATGGACCTAAATTAAGGTCCCTATCTGTCGAAACTCTACTGTTCCCCTCCCAGAGCGGGTTGGCGCATGGCCCTACGCATACATGTACTGTACCTACATGTACATATCCCTTAGGTAAGGTGCTTTGGGAAGGAAGACATGTTGCACAAACAACACATTGTGTCATCATCCCCTCGCCTCTTATCCACTCGCCTCGTCATGCCAAGCCACGTTGTGTTGTCCTTGTCTTTCAACACGAAATGCCAATCATCACCTCATCCATTGTAGCAAAGTTGTGATGCCGTACCAACTCTATACGGTACATGTATGTACATGCACCACGAGAATACTTGGAGCAAGCGTATAGCTCGAGCCATTAAGTGCTCCAGCTTCACCGTCACCCTCGCTCTTGCTGACCTTTCAGCCCCCCCCCAATCCGTGGTCCACCTGAAATTCACCGTCTGCCCGCCCCCCGCCCCCTTTCCCCTCCATCAGCCAGCCTTTCCTATCTCTGCGGCCACCGCTGCGAGCGTCCATCTCATGATCACCAAGTATCGCCTGTTTTGGTCTCGCGCCTCCGAAATCCCAAATCACCACGACCAAAAGGCTTGGGAGCTCAGAAGCCAAGAAGCCCAGAAAGCCCAGAAAGCCCGCCAAGGCCAGCCCTCTCACCCTAGTCCTTTCGTATCCCTTCCCGAGAGCCAAGCTACGAAGTACATCGCAAATCACCATGCGCCTACCCAAAGGGCAGCGATCCTCGACCACCTGCCCTCCTGAAAGACGGTCCAGAACCGATCATCCCATCTGCCCCTTTTCCCACACATGCTCTCGCCCTCTCTCTCTCTCCCCTTGACTCTGATCTCTCACCCGAAGCGAAACCCATTCTTTTTTCGATGGCCTATCGAAATCTAGCGCCCGGCCCCTCGGACGGCTGAATCGGCCATTTGGGATGCCAATAGTTCCGCCGTCATCTAAAACCCCAGGTTTTGCTCGCTCGTCCCGTTTGCCGTGCTTTCTTTTCCTCGAAGCCGGCCCTAGCCCCCCTCCATGCCTTCATCTTACTGGATAAGGGGGCGGCACACCTGCGGACGGCGACTGTGGTGGTAGCTCGAAAGTATATGCAGCAGGCGAGGGGGGCACTGACAACTCGCACCCACTCCTAAACCATCCGAGATGGCCAAAACGAAACATTTCGTCTGCCTCTTCGTTCGTCCCGCCCTCAACGGGGGGGGGAGACGTCATCCTCATCATGCCCAAAAGCCTACATGTTATGCGCACGTGTCTGCCTTCACCGCCGGCACACCCTGTCGTGCCAACTTGTCCTATTCTGCCTCGTCATGTCACCGCTGCTTTGCCCTTACCAGTCTCAGAGATGAGGA